TGAGGTGCACAGCGAGGTGAGAGGCGCACGCCACGGCTGACAACTTTCCCCCTGCGCGTCCAGGGCCATGCGCGGATCCGGATGTTGGCTGCAAGCTAGGCTCTTGGAGAAGGGGGCGCATGTGGTCAATGAACGGGGGACTGCGCCGGCCTCTCCCCGAGACCATGTATCCTAGGAAAGTTGCCCTGGCTCTGGGCCTCGGATTTCCTCACCCAAGCAGAGAAAAGAGAGCAGGACCTGAGGCCAGTGGTGGCCAGGTGGCACCCGAGGAGACCACGATGCTTGATGCCAGGCTGAGCGGCCGGTTCGGTTCCAGAGCCTGGGAGGTTCTGTTTTGAGCTCTGGAAGGGACAAGAAGGAAAGATGCCCTTCAACGCAGAGGACCTCGGAGAGGCAGGGTTCTAGATCCCCTCCTGGAAAGGAGGCTTTACAAGGACCCGTGGGAATGTAGGGCTACAGAAGAGGAGAAATGTGCCTACAGAAGAGGAGGGATTCTGCGGTGAGATGACTGGGTTCAACATGGCAAGTGTCTGTTGGAATTTAGAGGGCTTACATCGTGGGAGGTATGGCTGGGTGCAGAAGTGACCTTGGGCTATAGGGCAGAAGGCCTGTCTACTCCGTCCTCAGACCCAGCAGTGTGCCCCAAAGTGTGCCAACACCCCTGAGCCTGCTTTATCTGTAAAAGAAGTAAAGCAACCACCCTGGTGAGGGTGACATAAAGGCTAGGTAAGTAATGTGTGACACACTGAAGGTTTGCTTCCATTTCTTTGTCCAGGGAACCTAGGAGCTTAAAAACTTTGGGTGGAGGTGGGAGCTGTCCTTAATTACTTGTCTTGAGAAGGAAATGATGAAATCTTTTTCCTTTAGATTATTTACTGACATTTCAATTCTAGCTTTCATCAAGTAGTCACACATTTCCTCCTCTCTGGATTTTACTGCTGCTGGAATTGGGAGCTGCTTTGCTGCTGTTCTCAGACGGACAGATAAACCAGGGATAGATGCTTCCTAACTAAAATGTGGAAGAAAATCACAAATGAAAACAATTTGGTGTGCATTAATCACTGGGGACTGGAAGCCAACCACCTTCAGATTATTCACAGAAATGATCCTAATTAGGGTGGTCACCACTCTATGAAAGGGTATGTTTGCCTATTTGCAGTAAGTCCTAGTTCCAGGCTACCAAAGACAAAGAAGGAACTGTCGTGGATTGGTGGTCGTCTTCCTTTTTGAAAGGTTTTTATGCCTTTTATGTTGCATCACATTTTTGAATATGGCAAGTGTTTGTTGCAAAACCATGGCTGCTGTTCTGGGCAGTGTACACAGTCTCCCAATTCTTACTTAGGATGGGTGGCTCTTTATAGTCAGTAGGATCACTTTCAAATTCCTTTCTGAGAACTGGCTGCTTTTTGCTGTCTTTGGTATGTTCTGCCCTGCAGGCATCTTTTAAACAGTGCTACTGAAAGACCAGTGAGCATGAAGGACACTTTTCTCCACACCTCCTGTATTCTTGACTTTTCTTGGTACTATGACAAAATATCTGATCAAAGAAGTTGAAGGGGAAGAAGTTTTGTTTTGGCTCACAGTTTGAGGATACAGTCTGTGGTGGTCACATTGCAGTCACAGTCGGGACAGAGCTGAATGCTGGTGTTCAGGATGCTTTCTTCTTTTTATGTTGTCTAGGACCCCTGCCCATGAAAGGTGCCACCTACATTTACACTGGGTCTTCCTGCCTAAACCCAGCCCCTCACAGACATGCCCACAGTCTCATCAAATTGACAAGATTAAGCATCATAACATTCCACCCCACCCCAAAGTTTTCTTTTGATCTCATGATAAAAATGTATTTAGTCCAATTCTAAAAGCCCCTGTAGTCTTTCCCTTCTATTGTCCCCTTTCTTCTCCTGTTTTCCCAGTAGAGAGGTCTAGGGGTTTTTTGTTTTGTTTTTTATTTATTTATTTATTATGTATCCAACATTCTGTTTCCATGTATATCTGCACACCAGAAGAGGGCACCAGATCTCACAACGGATGTTGTGAGCAACCATGTGGTTGCTGGGAATTGAATTCAGGACCTCTGGAAGAGCAGTCAGTGCTCTTAACCTCTGAGCCATCTCTCCAGCCCCTTTGTTTTGTTTTTTCGATGGCACTAGTTCCTTTAACAGTTACAGCTGATTTTGAACCTGCCTTATCTGAAATTTTAATTTGTTTGCACTCTTTTTCTCATCAAACTTTACATTTTTCCTCTTATTGCTTTTTCTAACTGTATTCTTGATTAAGAGCAACAAACTGCAGCCGTACCACAATTTGAGCGATGTTTTGAAATTCTTTCCACCAAACACATTAGTCCATTACTTTTGAATTCAGCCTCACTCAAAGTTCTCAGGACACAGTCAGAAGGCAGCCTGAGTCCTTGTAAGAATAGAACCCAAATGGCCCCCAGTCCAATTCCTGATAGAGTTCTTGCTCTCCTCTGAAACCTTGTGAGCTGGACCTCCACTTTCCACACTTAGCGTTCTAGTTTTCCAAATTCCAGCCAGAATGGTCTGTTGGCATTCTAGGGCTTTTCTAGCCCAAGGTTTCCAAGTTTACATTCCTCCTATAAGCCACATCCAAAGTCTCACAAACCATATAGTCAGGATTATCATAGCAGTGGCTCCACTACTAAGTCCCAGTTTTCTACGTTAGTCACCTTTCTTGTGACAAGACACTGACAAAAGCAGCTGATGGACAGATTTGGTTTTGCTTACATTTTGAGCGAACAGTCCATCCTGGTCTAGAAGGCACTACAGCCCAGGTGTGAAGGAGCTGGTCACATTGTGTCTATGGTCAGGAAGCAGAGGGAAGTAAATACTAATGTGGGGCTTGCTTTCTCTTTCTGCATTCTGGAGCTCTAGCCCATGGAGAATGTGCCACTCACATTTAGAATAGTTCTTCCCACCTAAACCCAGTCCCTCACAGACAAGCCCAAATAGTTGCTTCCCTGGTAACTTTTTTTTTTCTGGTTTTTCAAGACAGGCCTTGAGAAAGGTTCCTCTTCTCTTGTAGCCTTGGCTGTCCTGGAATTCTGTAGACTAGACTGGCTTTGAACTCACAGAGATCTGCCTGCCTCCACTGGGATTAAAGGCATGTGCCATCTCTGCCCAGCATTTTTATATAATTATTTTTTATTTTATGTGCAGTGGTGCTTTGCCTGTGTGAGGATGTCAGGTCCCCTGGAACTGAATCCACAGACAGCCATGAGCTGCCATGTGGGTGATGGGAATTGAACCCCAGGGCCTTTGGAAGAGCAGTCAGTGCTCTCAACCACTGAGCCATCTCTCCAGCCACCCCCCCCCCAATTCTTAATTCCCACCACGTAGATAACAAGGTCAACCATCATACCTGCTCTGCAGCTTCCATGACCCTTAGCTTTTCTGTTAGGAAAGAGGCTGGGAAACCTTAGGAGACTGCAGGGACAAACTCCAAGGGAAAGCCAGATATCCAAAGGTCCTCACTTTGCCTAACAAAACTCACTCCTAGCTGTTTTTCTGTGTCAGCCCACCCTAGAGAGCTGAAATGGTTGTCACTTAGAGTTCCTGAGTGATCTTGGTTGAACTGAAACCTAGTAAACTGAGATGAGAGTTTAGGATCAGAAGTTTGGAAACATTCTTAACTTATCCACATTGCTTTCAAATACCTACATTAGCCTTTGCCCCAGAGTTTCAGAAACAGTGAGCACCTTACAGCTTCCCAGTAAGCAGTTTGGTGGCCAGGACAATGTTTTCTAACCCTACTTTGCACGTGGGGATACAGAAGCCCAGGAAGCAGCAATTCACTGTCACTCAGAGGTTTAAGACACGTGTGTTAAACATAGTTGAGCCTGAGAGTCCACAAAGGACCTTGACTTCGTCCTGGATGTTGACTACAGAATTACTTCTGCCTGCGGCCAGAGTACGTTTTGATGGAATCAAGGTGCTAGAGTTGTAACTTTGTGAAGCTACAAAACATAAGGGAAATTGTTATCATAATCAAGGTTAATATAGTCAGTGTTTTTAGATGATGCAAGGAGCTGGAAGAGAAAAAAAAAAAAAAAAACGAAATCTTACTGGAAGGTGGGTCCAAAGCCAGCATGGCAGTAACTTGGAGAATGTCATGCCAGCATCTGTGTGTACAACAATAGTTTGTAGTAGTGTCCCTTAGACACCTTCCCTTGAGTTGATTCAGGGGCAATTGCTAGCCTTAGTTGAGTTACTTCACCTTGCTCTATGTGGATTCCTCATCTGTGAAATAACTCAGCCATTTCCTCACAATAAACTCCACCTCCCCTGTACTTTCCATGTTTTCCAGAGTCTGGGCCTCCTCAGACCTCTGCCCCTTTTCACATACTGTTCCATTTCCCTGGAATAACCTGCCCTTGAATGTTGCTGTTCCCTTTCCCCAGAATACCCTGCCCTCGAACATGCTGTTCCCTGTCCTGGAATGCATTTCTTCCTCTGTAACCTCCTTTCTCCTCCCATCTTGGCACCAGGGTACGTTCAGCACTTCACACAGATAAGAAATATCCTGGCTAGTTAGTCATAGTTGCATGATGTTGTAAATATGCTAAAAAAGAACCCACTAGAGTACATGTCGTGTGTGTGTGTGTGTGTGTGTGTGTGTGTGTGTGTTTGGTTTCGGGGGACTGGTCCCAGGCAGATGCTCTACCACTGACCAATGGGATGTGAATTATATCTCAGTTTTAAAAAATTATATGAAGGGCTAAGGAGATGACTCAATAGGTAAAGTTGCCTACTGCCAGCGCTGACGACCAAGTTCAATCCCTGGAAACCACATGGTGGAAGGAGAGAACCGGTTTGTCCTCTGACCTCCACCTGCATGCCACAGCTTGGCATGTGCATACAGATACATACATACATACATACATACATACATACATACATACATACATACTAAAAACATTTTTAGTTATATGAGGAAAAGCCTTCCCATTATATAGTAAGTTTCTAGATGAATAGAACTTTTGTCATCTCCCCACCCCCTTTGATCTTCGAGCCAGTATGAAACCTAGTCCAGGTAATATTTGTTGAGTAAACAGTGGCCATCTGAAACCCCAGATTTAATGAAGGCTTATACATATAATGGTGTTTTTTTTTTTTCTCCCTGTGTTGAACACAAGTGCCAGGCACTTCTGACGTGATGGGTTTATAGTCAATGGGGGAGGCAGATGTGCACACGGATGTACTATGGCATTTCAGATGTGACAGTTTGTTAGCACTCAGATGTCATTCAGCCTAGGGTTACCAGTGACCATCATGGAAGAACTGATACTGGAAATGGGGTTTGAAAGATAAGTAAGTGTCTTAGTTATGGTTACTATTGCTGTGATGAAACACCATAACAAAAGCAAGCCGGGGAGAGAAGGATTTATTTGGCTTATCTTGCACATCAAAGGAAGTCAGGACAGGAACTCAATTAGGGCAGGAACCTGGAGGCAGGAGCTGATGCAGAGGCCACAGAAGGGTTCTGCTTACTGATTTGCTCCCCATGACTTGGTCAGCCTGCTTTCTTATAAAACCCAAGACCACCAGCTCAGGAATGGCACCACCCACAATAGGCTGGGCCCTCCCGCATCGATCACTAATAAAAAAATGTCCTACAGCCTGATCTTATGGAGGCATCTTCTCAATTTCCCAAAGGAGGTTCCCTCCTTTCAGATAACTCTAGCTTGTGTCAAGTTGACATAAAACTAGCCAGCCAGCACAGTAGGGGTTTACTATTCTAGCAAAAGACATGAAATGAATTATATATCCTAGATTTTAAAAAATGGTATGAAGGGGATAGAGAGATGATTCAGTGGTTAACAGCACTGGTTGCTCTTCCATAGGATCCTGGTTTGATTCCCAGTACCCACATGGCAGCTCACAACTGTCTGTGACTACACGCCCAGGTGATCTGATTTCTTTCTGGATTCTGCAAGCACTAAATTCACGTGCTGCACAGATACACATGCAGGCAAAACACTAGTACACATGAAATAAAATATTTTTTGTTAAAAAGAATAGCATGTAAACTCATGGAGGTACTAAACAATCACCTCCACACCTGTAATCAAGAGAGAACAGAAATAATTAAAAAGCCAAAGTTCCCAGAGTCAAAGACATGTTCTTCGGACTGAAGGGTGTGCAGAAGGCCCAGTACAAAGAGTGACTTCTCCACAGCAAAGGCACCTCACTGTGAAACTTAGAACTCAAATGGTAAAAACATATGTTGGGAGAGTCAGCAATGTGGGAGGAATTTGGAAAGAGAATGGCAATGTATTTTTCTAAAACAAAAGAAACTAGAGGGTAGTAGAGCTATACCTTTACACCAGACTAGAGATTATTTTAATTTGGCATTCTAACTTTGGGCCAGTTACAAAGTGGTGTCAAGATTCAAATACACTCCCACTTAGTGAAAACCATAGAGAGATGAGTACCAGCCACACTGAAAGAAGATACAGGTTTGGGAAAAAGGAGCACCAATATAGAATATTCTACAGACACTTGGAATGCTTTCATGGAGCCATCCAGAAAGCAATGGATACAAATTGGAAGAAGATGGATCGCTCAGAGTAAGACTTAAAAAGGACACACGCCTCCATGAAAAAAAGAAACTCATTGTTCATACATATAGTAAGTCTTCCTGATAAAAATGACAGGCATGGAGCATTGGGGAGAAATATTCACAGGCATATGGAATACAAGACAAATGGGAAAATACATGACCATTAAGACAGGAGACTTGGCTGTAGGCTTAATCGTGGAAATGTTTGTACAGTCCCAACACAAGCAGCGACAAGAGAATTCCGCAGAACCACCAGAAAATCAAAACAAGTAGGAAATTCAACAAAGACCATGAACGGACTAATTCGCAGAAGACAGAATGCAAATAAGCTCTTGTGCCAGTAATTGAGGGAATTAAAACCACTCCCAACCAGCGCATTGACCAAAGCTTTAAAATTCTTAGGAGACAGGCATTGGAGGTGCAGAGCATCAGAAACACTCATCTGCTACTGCCCTGAGTGACTGACACAATCCCCTGAGCCAGTGGAGCTGAAGATGTCCGCTCAAGTACCACCTGGTTATCGGTGCAGGTGGCTATTAACCCTCATCAGACCCCAGACTGTCCTTCCACCCACACCCTCTGATAACCTCATTTTTGTTTTGTTTTACCAGACAGGGTTCCTCTTCATATTCCTGGCTGTCTCAGAACTCACTCTGTAAACCAGGCTGACCTCAAACTCACTGAGATCCCCCTGCCTCTGCCTCCTGAGTGCCAGAATTAAGGGCATATTACCACCTCTGGAGATAACCTCAATTTTATTTCTCTGAAAAGAAACACAAACCTCCGCATGTCTGCTCAACCTGTGTGCAGACAGACTGACTCCTCTATCACTTCAGGTCACTGTTCGTGATCTAGAAGATAGTAAGCAGGCAAGAGAGAAGCAATTCAAGCTCTGGAGTGACAGTTGGCCTTGATGAGGGAGAACTGAAGATGAGGCCAGAATTTCAATGGCATGTGTTGTTTCTTTGGTAAAGTGGGGCCGTTTCCTGGGGAGCACAAGTCTGCCTCCTGTAGGCTTCTGAGAGCCAGAGGCTAGTGTCACTCACAATGCTCAGGCAGATGGCAGGATTGGTTGTCACGTTTTTATTTGTTTTCTGAAACAAGGTTTCTCTGTGTTACAGCCCTGGCTGTCCTGGAACCCATTCTGTGGACCAGGCTGGCCTCACACTCACAGAGATTCGCTTGCCTCTGCCTCATGAGTGCTGGGATTAAAAGCCTGTGTCACCACTACCTGGTGATTTCCACAATTTTTAAGTAAGATTATTAATCTTATTTTAAAAAACTAAAAATAAAGCTTGGTGGTAAATATGTAGGAATCTTACCCTAACAAAACTGTATTACAAGGCAGAGAATGCTTTCCAAGCTTGATTTTGCATCATAACCATCAGGAAATACAGATTTTTGGGCTGCCAAGATGGCTCAACAGGTAAAGGCAGGCAAGGCTGATGACCTGAGTTCCATCCGCAGAACCTGTATGGTGGAAGAACAGAACCAAATTCCACAAGGTGACCTCTGACCCCCACATATGCTTTGTGGCAGGCACTGGTGCCCTCTCAAAATAAATGTCATTTTGAAGATCAATCACTGGAACTCTTTTTTTTTTTATTGTTGAAAATAGATTTTTTTCATACAATATATTCTGATTAATGTTTTTCCCCTCCTAACTCCTCCCAGATTCCCTGCATCCCACCCACCAAGTCCACACCCTTTTTTCCTCGCTTCCATTAGAATACAAACAGGCATCTAAATAAATGGTAATAGGGCTGGAGAGATGGCTCAGAGGTTAAGAGCATCGACTACTCTTCCAAAGGTCCTGAGTTCAATTCCCAGCAACCACATGGTGGCTCACAACCATCCATTATGAGATCTGGTGCCCTCTTCTGATGTGCAGATATACATGGAATCAGAATGTTGTATATGTAATAAATAAATAAAATCTTTTAAAAAAATGGTAGTAATAATAATAAAATTAAAAAGAGCCAATGAAAAAGTGAAAGAAGGGGCTGGAGAGATGGCTTGGGGGTTAAGAACACTAACTGCTCTTCCAAAGGACCTGGGTTCAATTCCCAGCACCCACATGACAGCTCACAGCGTCCCGTTCCAGGGAATCTGGCATCCTCACACAGACATACATGCAGGTAAAACGCCAATGCACATAAAATAAGGTAAGTCTTTTTTCTTAAAAAAAAAAAAAGAAACAGCACAAGAAACATACACAAGTGCTTTGACACATACATTAGCGCACAGAATATTGTAAAAATAAAAAATCACAAACCATCCATACTATATAAGCAAAATATCTGTAAGGTATTTTTAAAAAGCATGTGAAAACAAATATAACTCCAAAAACACCACTAAGTCCATTTTGTGTTGCCCATCTATATGGGGTCTAACCCTTAAGTGTGGTTTATATACCTAGTGAGACTATTGGGAAAAAGAATTAAGTTTTCCTTTATGAATGGTTATCAGTTGGAGGTGGCTTCCGAATTAGTGATGTGGGCTTCTGTCTACTTCCCCTGTCAGCACTGGGACCCCATGGCTTAGACCTTGTGCATGCTGCAATAGTCTGTGTGAGTTCTTATGTATCAGTCCTATTATGTCTAGAAAGCCTTGTTTCCTTGGTGTCTTCCATCCCCTCCGGCTCTTACAATCCTTCTGCCTTCTTTCACAGAGTTCACTGAGCTCCAAGAAGAGAGACTTAAAGAAGACATCCCAGTTAGGACTGAATGTTCCAAGGTCTCTCACTGTCTGCACATTGTCCAGTTGTGAGTCTCTATATTTGTTCCCTTCGACTGCAGGAAGAAGCTTTTCTGATGATAGCTGAGCAAGTCACTGATCTATGAGTATAGCAGATAGGGGTCATTTTATTGTTCTATTTCTTTTTCCTCCTCTTCTTTTTCCTCCTCCTCCTCCTCCTCTTCTTCTTCTTATTATTTGGGTTTTTTGAGACAGGGCTTCTTTATGTAAACTTGAGTGTCCTAGAACTACCTACATAGACCAGACTGGCCTTGAACTCACAGAGTTCTGCCTACCTCTGCCTCCCAAGTGCTAAGATTAAAGGCATATGCTGCACATACCACCATCACCTGCTGCTCCATTTCTTTTACAGAACAATAGTATTTGGTTTTCTCCTAGGTCCATGGCCTATCTTGTCTCAGGTTCTAGGCAGTTTCAGGCCTGGGTTCCATCGCATGGAAGGGGCCTTAGTTCTAGTATGATATTGGTTGGTAACTCTCATAACTTTTGTGCCACTATTGCACCAGCATATCATGTAAACCGGTTACCACTGTAGATCTCAGGGTTTGTAGGTGGGTTGGTGTTTACATTCCTCATTTGGGTGCATGCAGAGTATGTTCCAGTACCATGAACATTAGTCAGTAGGGCTGAAGGCTCCAGGTAGGCATCGGCTTGTCTTCTGTCTGTGTTCAGTGAGGTATATAAATGTTGTCTTTAGCAATAGGGCCTTACCATCAATTTGTGGAGAGCCACAGTTAGCCTTGGCAATACCTTGAGTTTGGGGGTTTCCATGAGGCTCCTTTGGCCAACAACTCGATTAGCTGCAACCCATTCCTAACACTGGAGGTTTCATTTGGTGGTAAGAGATGTCTAATTGAGGTTCTGTCTCTCTCCCTCTCTCTCTCTCTCTCTCTCTCTCTCTCTCTCTCTCTCTTTCCCCTCGCTCTCTGTCTGTCTCACACACACACACACACACACACACACACACACACGGCTCAGCAGTTAAGAGTATGCTTGCAAAAGGACCTAGGTTCAGTTCTCAGTACCCCTTGGTGGCTTACAACCATTCTTAACTCCAGAGGCTCAACACCCTCTTCTGACCTCTGTAAACACTGCACAGATGTGGTACACATGCATGCATTCAGGAAAAGCACTCATAAATGTACATTTTAAAATTATAAAAAAAGAGAAGAGCCAGGCATTGGTGGCGCATGCCTTTAGTCCCAGCACTCGGAGGCAGAAGCAGGTTTCGAGACCAGCCTGGTCTACGAGAGCTAGTTCCAGGACAGCCTCCAAAGCCACAGAGAAACCCTGCCTTGAAAAAAATACCAAAATAAATAAATAAATAAGGAGAACAAGAAGTTGGGATGGTTTGGTGGTAAGGGTAGATTTAGGAGGAGTTAGGCAGAAGGTTGAGGGATGGATAATGATAAATACATTGCTTGCACCTATAAACTCAAAACATTAATAAATATTTTCCAAAGTTCATACAAACCATGAAGTAAACATCAATCCTAAAGTCTGCAGCTTTTTCAGATTTTATTGATTGTGCCAATGACATTTGTTATAGCAAAAGAAAATCAAATCATGTTTTACATTTGGGTGTCTCTCCTCCTTTAGGTTGCATAATTTCTTGGTCATTTGTTCTTAATATGATGTTCTTGATGCATGCAAGATATTTCTGTGGAGAATGCTGTCAACGAGGGTCTGTCTAATGTCTTCTCCTGGCTAGATTTAGGTTAAATACTCAACAGGAGCACCACAGAGGGACACTGTGTGTAGGTAAGAGTGTGCATTGTGTCAAGGAGGACATAGTGCTGATTCCTCGGTTCTTGTGGTAAAGTGGTTTGTCCCTGTAAATCAGGTTTCTGTGTTACAAAGTTACTAAGTACTTTGAAACTATGTAGATGCTCTTTTAACCCTAAAATTTTAGCCCAGGGTTATAGTTTTTGCTGTCCTATTATTGATTCTCTTGTGTACCCCTCTTTAGTACCCCTCCTGTGGTACTAAAGATTGAACCTAGGATGTCACACATCCTAGGCGAGCCATCTACTACTGAACGTGGCTCCATCCCTATTGTTGATTCTTCATTGGGTTAATCGTTATGGTTATATTAATTTAGTGTTAGAATACATAGAGTTTTCCACCTACCTTTGAAAATGAAGTCTGTTCTTTGTGAGTTTGAGGCCAGCGTGGTCTACAGAGTGAGTGCCAAAAAAAAAAAGAAAAAGAAAGAAAGAAAGGAGAAGAAAATGAAGTCTGTTGTTGGGGATGGAGAGTTGGCTCAGTGATTAACAGTACAAACTGCTCTTACAGAGGACTCAAAATTCAATTCCCAGCACCCAGGTTAGATGGCCCACAAACTCTAGGGGATCCAATACTTCTTCCATCCTAGGGTACCTGCATTCATGTGCACACCCACAAAGATACACACACACACACACACACACACACACACACACACACACACACAAACATACATATATATATAGTAGAATAAAAATAAATCTTCCTGGTGTGGTGATGAAGGGACCATCTCCCCGTTTCAGTAGCCATAACAGCCTAGCACGTGCTTGCCTGACCTTGCCTTGGTCACTAGGAGGTCAGATGCCTGCCTCGTGGCAAGGAACTAATCAGAAGTTAGCTGGCGGTGCTATGCTTTACGACTCTGGATGTGCTTTACGAACAAGTGCACAGCAATGACACACAGAGCATAGCAACCACCCTGGGAGGGCCTATGGGCCATAACAACCAGTTGACCAATCAACACAGGGCACGCCCTCCAAGCCTGGAGGCACGCCAATCCTGAGCCTGTGCATACCCCTAGACACTCCCCTTACGCTACCCTATAAGATCTCTATGCAGTGGCTTCTCACCGTCTTTTCCTAATCATCCACCATGGTGGATGGATGAAAGGCCCGAGCTAACATGGGGTTAGCTCGTTAAACAACTATAATAAAGCCTCTTGCTGTTTGCATCAAGCTTTCAACTCTGCCGGGTTCGTCTCGGTCTTGGACCGAGATCCTGGGGGCCTGAGCCTCTGGGGGTCTTTCAAGCCCTTTGGACCAATGAACAGCCTTGTCTCAAGGAAACAAGGTATTGAACTGGGCATGGTGGCCACACACCTTTAGTCCCAGTATTCAGCAGGCAAATGTCTAAGTCTAAAGTCAGCCTGGTCTACATAGTGGATGCCAGGCTGACAAGGGATACATAGTAAGAACTGTCTCAAATAAAAAAACAAACACAAAACAACAACAACAACAAAAACCCAAAGTGATGGCTCCTGAGGAACCGCACATAAAGTTCACCTCTGGCCTTCACATATGAACATGAACACAGATAGTCATACACACCTGTTTGTATTCCATCAGTTGAAAAGAGTACCTCCTTCCCAACTATTGTCAACCAAGTATGTAGTAATCTTAAATTTTGCCAGTCTTATTGGTGAGAAATGGTATCTCTCTGTTGTTTTAACTTGTAATTTTCGTTACTGGGGAGAGACTCCTTCCTGTGTGTAATAGTATAACATCTTTACATTTTATGTTCCTGTGTGACAACCAAACTTTTACCAGGTTTCCTTCCCATTGTGTGAATTACTTAAGTAATAGGTATAGAAGCTCTTTGTCCACATACATGTGGCAATAGTTTTCTCCAGATTTTCCTTTTGGCTCTCCTGTGTGAAAACCTTCACGTTTATGTATTCAAGCTTGTCTCTCGTAGCTGCATTTGGTTCTGTTATTATTGCACATGTCCTTCTATAAAGAGGAATTCATTTTCTAAATAAGAATAGGTATTTTTATTTATTTTATTTTGAGACAGGTCTTATTGTCTCACCCGGTTGACCTAGAACTCACCATGTACCCAACCTGACCTCACACTCCCGATCCTGTTGCCTCAGCCTCTCAAGTGCTGTGATTCCAGATGTGTGGGCTGGGTCATGGAATCTGGTCCAATCTTTTGCAATAAAACCTCCCTGGGAGATTCAAAGTGGTCACAAAAAACCCAATTTCCATTCTTCTGCTTGCTTCATCAGCCTTTGCATGTTTAATTATTGTTACATTTCCCCAACTTGTTTTATAAGAATATAGTGAAGATAAAGAGACTGACTGGATTTAGTGCTATGACTTGGGCATAGACATGCATTGATAAAGCAGCAACTCCCTTTCATTGTTTCTCATATACAAATCTTGAGTTGGGTGAGATTTGGAGAAGGCTTACCCCAAGACAAAAAAAATAGATCTAAACCATGGTCTGGGATTGACTTCAAAGCTTACCTTTTAGCTGTCACTCAATCCTGCCTCTCAGCGTAGGAATTTCCAATGTAATTCCCAGATCCCTTTATCAAAGGAGAGATTATTCTCTTTACATTCAGTTCCTAACTTCTTTCTCTCCATGTGATGGCCGCTTGTGCCCTTTCTACTTAGATCCCCACCTTCAGATACAACTCTCAAGGAGCAAGTCCTTTAGCAGCTCTAGTATGCTCTGAGGAACTTTGATGCCTGCTGACCCACAGTGCAGGGCTCTGCTCTGGAGAGCTGTTCTCTAGGTTGGAATAGAAAAGCCAAGAATTGTGTGGTTATAGCAGCTGATTCACAGACCACAGTGGGAAATAGGGGCAAAGCCAAGTATATACCTAGACTCCATCCACATGACAAGCCTTCACGGTGTTAGACCCCCGGAAAACTCAGGTATCTGGGGTCCCAGGCCACGACCACGGTCACCCCAATCACCATGCAGATTCGAGAGCTTGATGCAAACTGCATGAGGCTTTATTGTTTTTTAATGAGCTAACCCCATGTTAGCTCCAGTCTTTCACCCACTGGCCATGGCAGATGGCTAACAAAGACACCTCGAACCGGCTGCTGAGCAATCTTGTAGGGCAGCGTAAGGGGAGTGTCTAGGGGTACACACAGGCTCAGGATTGGTGTGCCTCCAGGCTTGGAGGGCTTGCCCTGTGTTGATTGGCCAACTGGTTGTTATGGCCCATAGGCCCTCCCAGGGTGGTTGCTATGCTCTGCGCATCATTGCTGTGCGCTTGTCCGTAAAGAACACACAGAGTCATAAAGCATAGTGCCACCAGCTAACTTCTGATTGGCTCCTTGCCACGAGGCAGGCATCTGACCTCTTAGTGACCAAGGCAAGGTCTTAGCGAGCACGTGTTACTGTCATGGCTGCTAAATGGGGGGCTGGTCCCTTCAAAGGAAAGGGGACAGAGGGAATTGGTTAAGCCTTGACTCATGGAAGGTAATGATCAATCTTTCCTTCATGAATGCTCTAGACTTAAACTATGAGCAATTTTATAGCATCATAGATCAGACTTCTTAGTGCTGAGTCTTGGGGAATGACTAA